GTGGACCTTAATACCCTTATGGTTGTATCATGCATCCACATAGAAACTCAACTGCTCAATGAAGAGTTCTTTAATCTGTTCTAGTTTGGTTAGGGGATTTCAGAGGGAAAAGGTGATATTTAGTTTACTCCCACCATCTCTAAAACAAGTTCCCACGTTCCATTTTTATCTTCCCATAATTAATTCTCACTTCAATATTTGGTAAGTTTTTCATACTTAAAAGATTATTATACCACGGGTTAAATATGCATTTGGTCCCTGTGAAATGAACGGTTTTTGCTTTTAGTCCCTCTAAAATATTCTTTTATAATTAAAAAGTGGGGTAATTCTTATACCACCTCCCCCCTCCCATTTTTCCAACCAGAGTAATAATTACCCCACTTTTACCCCATCCCCACAACACACCCTACTTTAAGTTGTCCTCCTCTTTTGTTTCTCACCTCATTCCCACAAATGGATGTGTAAATGGGGTGGGGAATGGGTTAGAAGGGTAAATTATTAAATCAGGTTTTTTGTACTTTTGCTACTGTTCATAACTTCATTTGCTGCAGCCACCAGTCTACACGGTCTAATGATTGAGGGGCAGTTTTGGAAAGCTATACATGAATTTGACTTTTCATTATAATGTGTGAAGTCAAACCCACACTTTTTTGGGGGGATGGAGCCTGGAGGGAGTATTAGTTTAGAAGTAGATTAGTTCAATAGAAAGGAAGTGAAGATTATAAAGTATAGAGTATACATTACAACAACAACAACAACAACAACCCAGTTGAATCCCACAAGAGTAGGGTCTGGGGAGGGTGTGTGTACGCAGACCTTACCCTTACTCGAAAGTAGAGAGGCTGTTTCCAAAGAGACCCCCGGCTCAACGACGAAAGTGGCATTGCTTGACTAACTGCTACTTCATTAATTAAAGAAGCACAGACAATTTAGAGATCCATTTAACAAAACAAATATTTAAGTAAATTAACCCAGTAGATTAGTTCAATTAAGAGTATACATTATTTAAGTAAATTAACAAAACAAATAATAATTTTCAGGTGTAGGCAAAACAAATATTACTTCATCCCACAATCCTTGTGTCTAGCCAAAGCAACTTTTAAGTTTCGGCAAGGTACAAACAATCACACATGTATCATGAATCATACTTACATGTTTAAACTTATGAATTGGTTTAACACAATTCAGCCTTTGAAAACATGTAAGCTTTTGGGGCGAAATTTTATGAAAAGTAGCATGATCATGTTTAAAACCAGCCTCTATTTTTTAGAGAACAGGAATACCAACCTACTTTTCTAGACCTTCCTCTTCCAACAAAACCCCCCACAAAGGGTTATAGTAAGAGGCTCAATAAATAACAAATAGCAAATACAATCGTAACCTTAATCAAAGTAGGCTAACTAACAACCCAACGTGACAATACCATGTGTGAACTTGCAAAAGAATCCTTGATAAAGGAAATTAGAAATTCAAAAATAAAAACAAGAAAATTGCATTAAAAATTCAATTTGAGCACACAAAACATGAGAGCATCATTAAGAAATGATACATGAATGAAACCTGGAGACATAAAGAAATATAGCATTCATTGTTGACATCTGACTTTCATCATTGAATCCATGCAGAATGATATATATAAATGTTTTGGAAAATATAAAAAACAGACAATAGGGGCATAAGAAAAGCGAAAATTAAAATGTACCATAATCATCTTCATCGATCATTGGGTGATAAGGTGTCTTTGGCTCTGTTATTTTCTGCCTTACTGGTTTGTTTGCCTCGATTTCCCCTAGATTAGTTTCATCCCATCGTACACGACCCCTGGCGCAGATCAAAAGTGAAAACACTTAGAAATAAATCACATTGGCCAGAAATAAATCAGATTATAACAATATTTTTGTTTGGTTAAGGGGAAACCAAAGTTTTGGCCGCTCAAGTGTTACGCCGTATATAATGTAGCATCTATCTTCCAATGTAAATGTGGTCTCCAGATTGTTAAGGATATTGAAGCCAATCAGTTATGTCACTGACTAGCTTATCACATATTTGTTTCTTAGAGGTAAGTGAAATTAAAAAATGTTGAATTCGAAAAACATTCATAAAAAGTACCTAGCTTATTACTATAGAAGAATGCTAGGTGTCCAGCAAGACTAACCACCTTAGAATTTTCTCAGAATTTCATATTAATACAGATATGGACGGCCCGAGCGTCTATAATCTACAATTCTAAGCAAACATAGAATAATGGTAAGAATAACAATAAAGTGCCAAGAGAGATCATTACTTCATTTCTGCTGTCGAGCCAAATCTTTTTCAAATAAAATCCAGAGGAACACACTCTTCCTGAAATTACGGAGAATGTTCTTCAGAAATCTATGCAGCACGAACAAGCCAAACTGACTCAGAAACTATAAGCACAGGATGTGTTTGGGGTGGATTTAGATCTGTGTGTTTGGGGCAGCTTGTTTTGCAGATACTTGAATCTTTCTCTGTGGCAGCTTACAATCTAACAAGAAAAGGGTTTTAGAAGTAGCAAAATACAAAAAATAATCTCAATTTCATGTACTCCGTACTAAACACTTGATTATCATTATTTTCTTCAGATAAACATAGCCAACAGAGGGAAAAAAATTCAACATGCTATCTGAAAAACACATCTCGTTCCTCTGGGGTATTTTGAAATTCATCGTGCAGTTCCTCAGATTACATAATTTCATTTTCTTCCATTTCATTTTCATTGGGATTATCCCTTCAATTATTGTCCATACCAGTGAGAAGCTAAAAGAACAATGAGAAAACGAGAAACATGAGGATTTGGCCATAATTAGAAAACCGATTCATTGAAAACGAAAAAGAAAAATAATTGAAATTGAAATACGCAATTACTGGAATTTGGAAGACATTAACATGCTCTAAAATTGAACAACATTTGGAATCGAAACAAAAACATATCCGAGTATAAATTATAAACAGAAAAATCGAAAATCATTACCCGGATAAACGGAACCCTCGAAAAACTCCAAAATCGAAAGGATGGCAAACTAGCCTAGCTGACATCGTCAATGGGTTTGATGGAAGGATTCCAGAAAGAGTGGACTGGGGACGATAAATTTGTCAAAGATCTCGTATTTTTAAAGTCATGCGCTTCAAATTATTTGAGTTAGAATAATAAAAAAAAATACTCCCTCCTTTCTAAATTTTCATTATCTGGTTTGACTTATAGATTAAGAAAAGTTAAAAAATATACGCCAGTAAATTTTTTATGTCTTGTTCTTGATGTGATGGAATAAGATGAATAGTGTAGAGAAAAAGTAAGATATAATGGTACATTCATTAAAAATTTTGCCAAAATAAGAACGAAAAAGTCATTTTTGAACCCCTCAAAAAGAAAAGCGAGAAAGAAATTAATAGACAGAGAGTAGAGAATATCTACTAGTACCTCAAATTTGTATCTTATTATATACCCCAAAACTTTGAAGGGGTATTAAATATAAGTGTAACACTAGCATGATGTTAGGGTTGCACTTACATTTTATGTTTGTGTATAGCTTTGTGGTACAAATTTGGGGTAAAAGTAGCACAACTCAAAAAGATATGTCTGCCACCAATCTACGACCGTCTGACAGGATCTGAGGGTACGAATATGGTTCTGGTTCTAAACAAGTACCAGAAAATGGAACCAAAACAAATGGTTGAAACCGCCGATTCTGGTTCTCATTTTTTTGTATCAAGACATGAAGCGGTATTGGTTTATCTTTTTTGTTTTTTATATTTTTAATACACTCTCTGTTACAGAGCATTTGTCTAGCTATAACTTTTTGCAATCAATGTAGATCGCCCTTTGACTTATACTCAGCATTAAATAAAAATTACTTACTATATTAATTAGATAAAGAAATATTTTAAAAATATTTTACAAGATAAATCTATTAAATTACTTTTGTATCAATATCTAATATAAATTTTATTTAGTTTATTATGAAAGTTTATAACATTTGACTGCAAATAGTTAAACTAGAACAAATATTTTGGGACGGAGGTAGTACTTATTTTCAATATTTCGAGCTTGATTCACAATATTTACTTCCAAAAAAGAGTTTGGAGCCAATTATATAACTTTCATACCAAAAATATTTTGAATAAAATTAAAATTATTTAGAATTGGTTTAGAAATGGGACACCCAATTCCGGTTCTCCTCAACCAGACCGGTGCCGTGTCCACCATATTAGAGAGCTAAACACCCCTAATAAACAAGATGAAGTTCCTTATTTTATGAGAAGGTATGATATTGCTCTATATGGTTTAATGGAAACAAAAATTAGAGACGTTAATTTCAGTATCGTATAACAGAATATTTGTAAGGGTTGGAGTTCTTATATCAACAATTTTGCTCATCCTTTGGATAAGATTTAGGTTATTTGAAATCCAAATAGAGTTAATGTTACTAGTTTGGAAGTGTCTGATTTTCACTGCAAAAGTAAAAGCAAATATTAGGGCTGAGGTAACTAAAAGAAAATATTGAGAAACTTGCTTCCAAACTCAAGAAGCTCTTAAGTTGGATCATGGTAACAAGGACCTCATGGCACAGGAGCAGTCTCTTACCAAGGGATTAAATTGGAGACTTAAAGCTCTGCACATTTAATGAAATAGCAAGATTGATGAACATACATGATGGGGTAAACTGATGATAATATGTTCTAACATAGCTTAAACTTGTTATCTCGGCATATAGCTTAAATTTATTACTTTAACATTGTTAAACAAAGTAATTTTGCATCAAATTTTGTGGAGCAATGCTAGAGGTACACCAAAGGTGTACCCCATTTGTCCCCCACCCCCTTCTCCATCACCCATTTTTATTTAATTTTTATTTATTTAATTTTTTTTGAAGTTTTTGCCCATTTATGTGGTGGAGGAGGGGGTGGGGGACAAATGGGGTACACCTTTGGTGTACGTGTACCCCTAGCATTTTTCAATTTTGTGTACATGAAACCAGAAAAAACGAGTTTTTCCCTATATCGTCATGGTTCAGAAACGAGGAAGGCACATCCAACAAAATGGGAAGGGAGCCACCAGAGAACAATTTAACAACTGATATGAATATAAAAAATAAGCATTTGTGTGTCCTCACTTGACAAACATATTTTAAACCATCCTACGCTATCAACACAAATCTGCAAATGGTCATAGTACCCATTCACTCTGTTGACTTAGCTGCAATGTGAGGCTTTTTTTCCTTCACAACTGGCTGGGATTCTGCAGAAGAAGAGTAAATCAATGAATAAACAAATTACTGAATGTGCCAAAGATTCAATTGTAATGAATTTTTAGTTGAAGTTCAGTACAATAATTTGTTTAGTTTCTTAGTAAGAATATATTACAATAGCAAATGTCCTGGAGTTCTATCACTAATGGAATGGATCCTGTTTACACCAGCATACACACTACTTATACGTTCTTGAGCGCGCCAAGTTCTGATTAAAAAGAACAAAAGTGTGAGCTTTTGATAGAGTAAAGAGTCTTGAAAGATGACAGCGGATATCCTAATGCAATCCAGCAGCAAGTAATAAGTTTTTGCCCACCATCCCTTTCCAGGAAATGTTCATAGCAATCTAGCAACAAGACGGTGTTACGGGAATAATTTTGATAATGATTCCCACCTTCTCCTTTGTATCGAAGAACTTTGGAATGTTTGGGAGTGTTTGATTCTCAGCCTTTGTGGACGGCAAAGCAAAAGCTGAGAAGCACCTCCTAGAAGCTTTTAGACTGTTGTCAAAATCATCCGTTTAACAAAAAAAAATTAAGCACACTCCAACACCCTCTAAGTACGGTAGGCTCCTAAATGGCCTGCAACAGGAGTGGAGTTGATATCCTCCAAAAGTTTCTGGACCCACGACAATTGGGGAGGTGGCAAGCACAAGAATGCGAACTTTGAAGAAATTGACAAACTTGTAGAGAGGAGCATTGGAGGGGTCAATATGTAGTTATTCCACAACTGGCTTAAGGTTTGGATTGTGATTGACCACATCAAGTTCTGTCTAACTGATCAATAAAAGAAAAGGTACTGGTCTACTGGAGAAAGTTTCGAGCCTTCAGTCTGCTGAGGTAATGATGCATCTGCAACATTATTACTCACCCCAAGCTTATACACAATTTCAAAATCATATCCCCAATAACCCATCCACCGATATTTTTTGTGTAGAAGGTGGTGAAAGGTTCTTACAATAAGTGCAGGAGATTATGGTGGTGACTGCAAACACCGTCTCCCATAAGATAAAGGCATAGATGCTTAATGGCTAGGGTGAAAGCCATTCATAGAGAAAAGAGTTCTGAAAATTGAGTTTATTGAGGAGCTAACTTGAGAGGGATAGCACTGAGTAGTGTGTACCATAAGGTAATTCACCAGTAAGAATAAGTTTTACCCACGGCCACAGCCATAATTCGAATGCAGAGTTCTTGATATCTTGTATGGTACGGTGTACAAATTTGCAATTGTAAAACAGAAATGAACAAGGTAAGAATAAAAATGGTAACAGTTGATCGCCTATCAAGTCTCTGGTCTTGAGAAATATATATTGAATTCCTGGTCTTGACTCTTGAGCAATCTCACTAGTTTCCTTTTACATCCTGACTTATCATCTCCCTACAGGAGTATCTAATCCATTGACTGGGTTCTTGCGGTATATGCTGTACATCTTGGCATGATTATTTTAGTTTGCAAATCAAGACAATCAACATATTCTGCATGCAGAATTGAAACTAGTCCCTCCCAAAAATAGAGTCATGCTTGATTAAAAAAAAAACTATTTTTTCCTGTTATTTGGCAAACACGAGATTTGCATGCACGTTACATATAATAAGAATTAGTTTCTACCTTGATCGAGGCTTTCTTGCGACAAAAGTAATGCTCCATTGGTCCCACAATTAAATTTATACTTCACTTCTTCGTATGACCCAAAATAAACTTCATGTTCATATCATTTCCTCTTTCGGAAAAGTTTTCTTCGTATGACTCAAAGACTACAGCTGAATCACTTATTCCCTTAAGAAAAATGGATGAAATGATACAAATATAAGGGAAAACATACTGGATATGAGTGCCCTTGGTCTGGTCTTGAAGAGAACTTTCTGGCGAATAATCCCTATTACGTCCAATTCCACTCCAGGTGTGTTAATATCAGTATCTTCCTCTAGCTTCCTTTTCTTCAATACTAGCATAGGTTTCTTCAAGGGCACTTTGTTCCCAGTTAGCTCGTGATACCCAACTGTAAAGGTATAAATCTCCTGAAACCAGAGAGGGGCAATTAGGGCAAAATCCGAGAAATACTACACATCAAATGAGATCTGGAAATTTATAAACTGGGTATAAAGTGTTTTTGGGAATTGAATCTGACCTGAGCAGAAGGGCGACAGAGAACGCCGATTTGGAGGTCTTGAAGGCGATTCGCGAAGGCGGGTTGGGCCTCAATGACGCCTTGAAGCTCCACGATTGCCCATTCCGGGCAGCTCTCTGCGCAACCGCATTTCACCCGAATCTGCATTCCTTAATTAGCTGTGATTCTCGGAACAATTGGAAGCTTATCTATTTGGGAGGGTTTTTCCGATAAGAGTAAGCGGCGCGTGAAGAGAACATCGCAGAGGCCTGAGCGTGTTGATTCACTTGGAGTTGGGGCTATGGATTTGGCAGCAAAACACAAAAGAATAAGAAAAAAAAGAGTCATTTTTTATTATGTAAAGAGTATAATTCTTTCCAAAAAATTCAAACCTTCTATACTTTTTCTGTTTTCGTTTTTTGAGAAAAATATAGAGTATATGGCACTTACATTTCTTTATCTTTCAATAAATTCTAATTATTAAAAAATATTGAAGTGTGTTCAAACAAAAAAAAGTAAAAATGGTATGGAACACAACAAACATCATAATGATTATAACAAAAAGACAAACAAGCTATCAAACATTAACTTGAATGATTTTGACAACAAACATTAACATGAATAATTGTAAGAACACGAGTAATTATTAATAAAAACACAAACAAAATATCAAATACATTTATGTCCCAATTGCCCTGTGATCCATCTCTCCTTGGTAACAGTTGTGTTTACATCTCCCAACACGTGAAATCTCTCCTTCTGGCATCACTATGAGATTTACGTGAAAGTCACCGCAATCAAAAGTTTGTGAAAAAATTATTATTTGAATCCCTCTGCTGTAACAGATGATATAACTCTAAACAGAGTACCTAATGGGGCTAAGGTCATCAACAAGTTTTTTTGAAATGAGTGAAATACAGCGTGAACATGAACACAAGGAATAACATCGGCAGTCCATAGGGCACAAATACATACACGAGACCTTTGATCCACCATGTAACTGTAGATTGATGATGGATTAGAACAAGAAGTGTAAGTAGCAACATACTAACTGTTACCATAGAATGCAACAGTTCACGACTTCAAAAGATATGATGTTCATGATTTTTGGTGTAATACGGTTATTTTTAATTGACATTGAAGAGAAATCTTGTACCTTTTTGCAAACGATTCGACCATTTTGTGGTATGACATCGTCAAAATACGGAGTATTACAATATACGGAGTATTGTACGTTAAAACTCTCAGAACCATTTGTTGTGAGGATCCCACATATAAAACCACCATTAAAACATAGAGTTCGCACTTCACCTGAAATTTCATTCAAATAATTATATGTGTCTTCACTTGTGTTTCAATTTTTCTCATTATCCAAAGAACTTTTGGTTATCGAGTTTGCTTCCAGTGGCCCAGACTATACACTTGAAGTCACTATTTTGAAATGTTGTCATAAAATTCATGAATTCTTTTTTTTAAAATTCATGATAGATTTTTTAAAATCCATGAATTTCGTAAAATCAATAGATTATTTTATATCTATGCAGAGTTAGATAAATTTTAATGTATTTTATGAGCATAATTTTATAAGATTATGGAAAATTGTTTACATAGTATAATCTATGAAGATTATGTTTTTTCTTTTTTCTTTTTTTCTTTTCCTTTTCTTTTGTTTCCTTTTTCCTCCCCGGAACCTCCCCGTCGCCTCCTTTCTTTCCTCTTCCCATTATGTTTTCCTTTCTTTTCTTTTCTTTTTCTTTTATTTGTTTCCTTTTTCCTCCCAAGATCCTAGCCACGGTTCTTTTTTTCCTTTTTCCTCCTTGGCCATCTCTTACACCTCAAGCTCTGGATTGACATCCTCAGCCACGAACAGAGAGAAGAGCACGGCATCTTCGTCTGCAAAAGAGGAGGGCATCTTCGGGTGCAAAATCTTCGACTGCAAAATCACAGCGAATAGAGAAAAGAGGGCATCTTCGGCTACAAAATTGCTGCAAAAGAGGAGAGAATCTTCGGCTGCAAAATCACAACGAACAGAGAGAAGATGGCATCTTTGGCTGCAAAAGAGGTGCGGATCCAAATCTACTGTCCAGATCGACATCCTCCGCCACCTCAATTTCCTTCGTGGCAATGTTCACGGCGTAACGGCCTAACGGGCAAATTGTCTGGAGTTGTCAAAATCCCTACCTTTTGCGCGTGAGATTTGGGAATGTGTTTCTATTTATATTCAATGCCTAAAAATCCATCAAACTCTACATATTTTGAAATCTTTAAAAATTTATCTATTTTTAATACCATTAGATTTAGAAAGACTTTTTAAAATTTAAATTAAATATTTCTGTGTTTTAAATAATTTTCTAAAATCTAAATTGAATACATACCAGAATAACTAAATAAAGTCTAGATTTTGAATACCAAATAATTGGAATACAATGACACATTTTAGAGGAGATTAGTACAAACAAATTAGTGATACTCCGTATTAAATTAACATTATGCCACAATTTATTTGTCATACAAATTATAAGCATACGGAGTATAATTTACTGAGTATACAATTTTAAAACATTAAAATTCAAAATGAAACTAGGATAAAAAAAAAATCAAAATGAAACTCGTGTTCTTTATACTACATCTGTACAACCAAGCAAATTTGATGAGAGAAGGAATAAACTAATGGCAAATCGATTTTCAAAGTCCATTTCGAATGGCTGTGCACAAATCATCCTTCAATTGTGAAGCGGGTTTGGGCCGCCGGGAACAACCTTGTCGGAAACAGCGTAACCTCTATCAGATGCGCGGCGGCCCTCTTTGCCGCCGCCGCTGCTGCAATTGAGCAATTGTTCGGGCGGAGAATCCATCGCCGGCGACCTTGATTCTTCGTCATCTTCTCCTTCATCGGCAATACTGAGATTGACGCGCCTGCAGTAATTCGAACGATTGAGAGTGAATAGTATTATAATAACCAGAAGCAGAATCGGCGATGCGCGAGGATGATGATGATGATGATGAAGATTCATGTCCAGAGAAGTGAAGAAGAGGAAGGAGACAGGGGAATGGAGAGAGGATAAAAGGTATTGTCTTCTTCTATTTAACATTTGTTAGATCAGCCCACGTTTGGGTAGAGATCCCCACAAATGCAGCCAAAAAGAACAGATCAGTGGCGTATGGCAATATGCAACTTGACAGCAACCTTCCTTGGACTCTGTCTGGCCTCTGGATAGTACTAGTAAATATACTCTGCACACTACTACTACTATGAAAGAGAATTGCTCAATGGTAAATGAAAAAAAAAGTAGGGTGGCAAAAAAAAAACCGAACCGTTTATTGTTTTGAATGAGATTGATTTGTTCTATCCTGGACCGAAACCGAAACGATATCAAATGGAACATGACTGTGATACAAATATTTAAAATCGATTATGACGGACTAAATTGTTCAAAACTATTTACGGAGTATCTCAAATACTTATTTGTTTACTTTTATCTAACCATATATGGAGTACATCGTATTGTATTATTTTTTTATTATTCTTTCATTATTATTACTACTATGAGCAATAACCTTTAGAAATTATTAATAGTCTGATATTGTACGAATTCAAACAAAATCTATTTTTAAAATTTGGACTCGTTATCTTTTATTTTTTTACTACTATGAGCATCGCTCAATCCCCACGCGTTGCTCCTTTTGCTCATTTGCCATAGTTCTAAAGCAAAAAGAAAAGAGTAAATTATATAAAAGGTCCCCAGTTATAGGTCGTTTTACATATTTAGTCCCTACATATCAAATATTACTAATTTAGTCCCCAATTATTATATTTATTTCCACGAATGGTCCTTTGTTAACATTTCCGTTAAGAACGTGGATAAAATTGTATATTCATACTTCTCTCTCTCCTCAATTAAGCTTTCTTCATCTTCTCATACTCTTTTCCAAACTCGTCGCTGAGTTTGAAGCTCTTAAACCCAAAATTTAAATGATCGTTCCTCCAGTTAGACAAACAATTAAGAGAAGAGTGATGATTTTGGTTTAGGGTTCAAAGCTAGAAACTCAGCGACGGGTTTGAGAAAGGAGTACAAGGGAGGAGAATGCTTAATTGAGGAGAGAAAGGAGTGTGAATTTATAATTTTATCCACGTTTTAATGAAAATATTAACAAAGGACCATTCGTAAAAATAAATATAATAATTGGGGACCAAATTAGTAATATTTGATATGTAGGGACTAAATATGTAAAACGACCTATAACTGGGGACCTTTTATGGAATTTACTCAAAAGAAAACAATTCATTAAAAATGCTCCACTCCAAACTTGTTGTCGACGCTGATGCCCACTACCTCGGAGCTACAGCGCCCCAGCTGCTGCCGCCGTCGTGTCCCTGCCAATATCACTTAATCTCTATCACCGCCAAGCCCTGCTTCGTCGCTGCTGTGCCTCTGCTGTCAAAATCCACCATTGTCGCTGTTGATTTTTCACCGTCACCACCGACATCATCATTCTCTGTCATTTTCATCCACACTAGCATCACAATTTACACCTTCATCGTCGCAATGTCAGATTAACTTTCAATACGGTGTCAAAGAAAGACATTATGGAAAATATGGCACCACATAATGTCATGCATGACAATATATAATGCCACAAATTCCCAAATATAGTGCCACACTGTGAATTTACATTGTCACACATAGGCGTAATGCCAAATCAAATCTAATACCAAAGACATAATGGCAAACATAACACCGTACAATGTCACACGACAATATATAGTGCGCCAAATGCTTATATATAATGACACAATGTGAATTCACAAATGTCACACAAAGGCATAATGCCAAACCAAATCCAATGCCATGCTCGACTGTTTGGCTTCAATTAAAGATTGAGAGAGATCTCACCCACTTTTGAAATCAGGCTTGGAAGGAGAGAGATGGAGGTGGGATGGCTAGGCATTGGTGCAACGATGAATCTGAGAGGGGTGGGGGTGCATGACAGTGGCGATGGTGTTGCGATTGTAATCGATTGAAAAAAGGGGTGGGCGGTGGAATGGAGATCGGTGATGAGCAAGCAACGGCGAGTCTAAGATAGATGGGGTGCATGGCGGCAGCGGCTATTACGCTGTGGTTCAGCCGTGAATCGGTGATGGCAATGATGGAGGTATGAATCAGTGACAGAGGCAATTGAGTATATTGAAGAAGGGGGACGCCAAAAAGAGATCTGTATTAGCCTAGCCTAGTATATTTGTATATGCTTGTTTATTATGTATTGGGCTGGTGTATTATGGGCCCGTGACTAAATATTGTATCATGTATATATACCTCTTGTATGTAATGGCAAATACAGTTTTACGCAAATTGGTTTCTATATGGTATCAGAGCTTTCCTAGGGTTTATCGTCAAATTTCGTGCGATCGCGTCGCTGGTGCGTCGTCGTTGCTGTTCCAGTTTCTCCAGTCTTCCGCTGCACTGATCAGTCGTCCTAGGGTTCTTCGGCAGTTGGTATTCCAATTTGTTTGCTGCCTTAATCGTTTGTCCAGCCCTCCTTGCCGTCTGCCATCATGTTCGGTGAAGCCAATGCTAAAAAGACAAGGTTGATTCATGATCCATTGTCTATTTATTACCTTCATCCCTCCGAAGGTCCGGGTAACTCTTTGACAAAATACCTCCTTAAAAGTGATAATTTTGATATTTGGGAGAAGGCAATTCGCAATGCGTTGGGTGGTCGTGGCAAATCTATTTTTTTGTCGTCCGTAGGGGTTGCCAAACCTACCGACGAACATGAGTTGTCCGCTTAGAGTGCTAATCATCAAATTATTTGTAGTTGGATTTTTAACAGTGTTGACGAATCTATCCAAGCGAGTATTGTTTCTCATTCTATTGCTTATGAGTTGTGGGATGATTTGAGGAAACGCTATAGTTGTTCTAATGGGCCTCGTGTGTATCAGTTGAAGTCAGAGTTAAATACTTTACGTCAGAAGGGTCAAAGTGTCGTTTCATATTACAACCAATTTATCACTTTGTGGAACCAATTGTATGGATCTTCTGATCTCACCGGGGGCTGCCGGTGTGAGGCCGCCGGAGCCACGCGTGAACGTATTGAACGTGATAAAACAATGGATTTTTTGCTCGGCTTGGATGATGAACAATTTGGGAACATACGTTCTCAAATCATCGGTTCTGACCCGGTCCCGGATATTGACCGTGCATATTTTTTGGTTACTCAAGAGGAGCGACATCGCAACATCATTCATACTCGTGATGATCGTACGGATTCCGTGGCTTTCGCTGCGAAGCAGGACAAACGTCTCCCCGTACCGACCAAACCGTCTTGTTCACATTGTGGTCGCCCCAATCATAGCATTGACACATGCTTTGAACTCATTGGTTTTCCTTTCCAGTTTGTCCGTGGTGGGGGGCGTGGCCGTGGCAGCCGTGGTGGGTCTTCGTCAGGTGGTCGAGGGGGTCCTCGGTACGGCAGTAGCAACACTACCGGTAGTGGGCAGTCTTCCGTGGGAGGCAGTAGCAGTAGTTCAGCCGCGGTGCATGCGTCCGTGTCAGATTCTAATGGCAATCTCAGTGATCAAATGTCCCGCTTAATGTCCATGCTCGAGGCATCGGCATCTCATGCTTACACTGGTAATTCTTCTTCCGACTGGATAATTGATAGTGGCGCCTCACACCACATGACAGGTTCTCTTGCCCATTTATTTAATGTTGAGGATGTTTCTCCTCACTCTATATGCCTCCCTGATGGGTCTCGTGTTCAGGCCTTTAAACAGGGAAGTGTGGCTCTGTCATCTCGTTTGGTATTGCGGAATGTGTTATACGTTCCAAATTTACATTGTCACTTGATCTCTGTTGGTTGCTTAATTCGTGATAATACTTGTTGTGTAACTTTTAATGATCATCGTTGTGTAATACAGGACCGTTCGTCGCAGATGGTGATTGGACAGGGTGATTTGCGAAACGGCGTGTATGTCTTTGCATCAGTTCCCGCGTCAGCTTTAGTAGCCAATATCGATCCCTTTGTTCTTCATCAACGGCTGGGCCACCCCTCCGTGGATGTTCTTCCCTTTCTTGGTACTAATAAAACAAAGTCTGTTATCCAAAAATTACAGACTTGTGAAATTTGTTTTTTGTCCCAACAAACTCGTTCCTCGTTTCGTGTTAGTAATAATAAAGCTGATGCTATCTTTGATTTAATTCATTGTGATCTGTGGGGTCCTTACTCACCGTGTATTTCATCTGGAGCACATTATTTTCTAACGATTGTTGATGATTATTCTCGGGCTGTCTGGGTTTATCTGATTAAATCAAAAAGTGAGGTCACTTCGTGCTTACGTCGTTTTTTCACAATGATTCACACCCAATATTCCAAAATAATTAAAATTGTCCGTTTTGACAATGGTACTGAGTTTCTTAATTCCCCCTTACGCCAATATTATGAGAGCTTGGGTGTATGTATTCAAACGTCTTGTGTTGGAACTCCACAACAAAATGGGCGGGTAGAACGTAAGCATCGTCATATACTAAATGTGACCCGATCCCTAATGTTTCAAGCGTCTCTTCCACTAGAATTTTGGGGGGAATGTGTTAAAACTGCTGTGTATTTAATTAATCGTACTCCCACCAAAATTCTCGGGGGTAAATCACCTCTTGAAGTCCTTTCCTCCAAACCTCAAGATTTAAGCCATCTCCGGGTTTTCGGGTGTCTTTGCTTTGTCCATCCTATTCCCAAACCCAAAAATAAATTCCATCCCCGAAGTATAAAATGTGTGTTTCTGGGTTACCCGTATGGTACCAAAGGGTGGAGGGTCTATAGTCTTGACACACATCGTTTTTTCCACACGAGGGATATTTCGTTTGACGAAACCATCTTTCCGTTTGTCGTCCCTACTCCCTCGTCCGGTCCTCAACCTCTTCTCACACCTTCCCCGGTTGATTTCACTGTTCCTACCGTCTCCACCACCCCTGCCGCACCTCTAACCCAGCAGCCCACCCCGTCTCTCGTCGTCCCTGTTACTCCGGCTGTACAACAGCCTGTTCGGCAGTCTCAGACACCGTCCCAGTCCCCCTCGGAAACTGCCACCCCGTCCAGTTCTTCTGATGACGACGACAGCCCAGCGTCCTCCTCGGTGGAGACCACTTCTCCATCGCCTATACTTCCATCCCTTCCGCCTCGCACACGTCGTCGTCCGTCTCACCTCAACGACTATATTCTCAATTCCGCAAAGATTGACACTCCGGCTCCGGTCTCCTCTTGTCCTTCACAGTCTGGTACTCGGTATCCTATTACTAACTTTGTTCATTATTCTAAGTTGCATGACAGGTACAAGGGTTTTCTTGGAGCTATTGATGCCACCTCCGTTCCCCGTAATTTCCGAGAAGCTGTTCAGTTTGCCTCTTGGCGTGAGGCTATGGCTACTGAGTATTTGGCCCTGGAGCGTAATCATACATGGGATGTTGTTGATCTTCCTCCTAATCGTCGAGCCCTTGGTTGTCAGTGGGTATATCGGACCAAGTATCGTTCTGATGGTACTAAGGAGCGTGATAAAGCACGTCTTGTTGTCCTCGGTAATCATCAGGAACTGGGGGTTGATTATACTGATACTTTTGCACCGGTTGCCAAATTGGCAACTGTACGTGTTTTGTTGTCTGTTGCAGTGGCTCGAGGTTGGCAAGTTGATCAGTTGGACGTTAATAATGCTTTTCTCCATGGTGATTTGCGGGATGAGATTTATATGAAAATCCCTCCTGGTTATACTCATCTCTTTCCAGGAAAAGTTTGTCGCCTTCGTAAGTCCTTATATGGCCTTCGCCAGTCACCTCGTAATTGGTTCACTAAGCTTCGTGTGGCTCTTCGTCAGTATGGGTTTCGACAAGCCCATGCCGACCATACCCTCTTTGTTCTCCATCGTGGTCCCGATATGGTAGTTGTTCTTGTCTATGTTGATGATATTTTGGTGGCAGGTAATAACAGGTCCTTATGCACCTCTTTTAAGAAATATTTAAATGATTGTTTTCATCTAAAAGATCTTGGACCAGTGTCTTATTTTCTGGGAATTGAATGTGCTCGTTCTACTGATGGTATGGTTCTGAATCAGCGCAAGTATGCTCTAGATATTATTGATGAGGCCAATCTCCTTGGTTGCAAGCCCGTGGATACTCCGTTACCGGTCAATCATCATTTGGCTCGATCCACGAGTGCTGAGATTCGGGATCCTCTTAAATATCGTCGACTTGTGGGGCGCCTGCTCTATCTCACTATTACTCGTTCTGATATTTGTTATGCTGTTCATACGTTGTCTCAGTTTATGCAGGCTCCACGTCTGGATCATTGGAATGCTGCTCTTCGTGTCCTTCGTTATCTAAAAGGCCACCCTGGTCAGGGTATTTTGTTGCGCAGTGATAGTAATCTTGCCCTTACTGCATTTTCTGATTCAGATTGGGCTAGTTGTCCCCTTACTCGTCGGTCTGTTACTGGTTACTTTATTTTGTTGGGAGGTTCTCCAGTCTCATGGCGTATTAAGAAGCAAACCACAGTCTCCCGATCTTCTGCCGAGGCCGAGTATCGCGCTATGGCAAATGCGTGTGCTGAAATTCGATGGTTACGTGGCTTATTGGCGGCATTAGATGTTCCTTGTGTCGCGACTCCTCGCTTATATTGTGATAATAAGTCTGCTTTATTCATTGCCGCCAATCCCGTTTTTCATGAGCGCTCCAAACACATCGACATTGATTGTCACATTGTCAGGGAATGTCTCCAGCGCAATCATATAGTCACTGCGTATGTTCCAACGCGTTTTCAAACGGCGGATATCTTCACAAAGGCTCTCTCCGGTCCACTTTTTCATTGCTTATTGTCCAAGTTGGGCATTCATGATATTCATGCTCCAACTTGAGGGGGAGTATTAGCCTAGCCTAGTATATTTGTATATGCTTGTTTATTATGTATTGGGCTGGTGTATTATGGGCCCGTGACTAAATATTGTATCATGTATATATACCTCTTGTATGTAATGGCAAATACAGTTTTACGCAAATTGGTTTCTATAATCTGCGTATTAGATCAGGATAAGGCCTTTGAATGGAGCATTGGGGCCGTGGTACTTTATACTCCGTATATTTATATTAATAATATAAGTCCTATTTAGGATAGTTTAAGTTTAAGGTCATATTTTGGAAATATGGTATATGTTTTCCTGAGTTTTCTTTATTTTATTCTTTCATTTGCTTTAACAAACCTCTCACCAAGTTATTGTCCTATCCATAATGGGTTTTAATGGAGTATATGGTTCAATTGGCTCCTCCAACATATAATGCAAGAATTTAAACACAATAATCAAACACAATATAAAGGGGGGGGGATTTTTCACAGTTCAAAAAACAACCAAAATCTCATAATACAAACATAATGAATCACTGAAAACTGGCCACCCTCACAGGCAATGAAACACAAATAAAACTGGTAAACACAAAACATTATGCATGTTTTATTTTAATGGGGAAGAGATTTCTAAAAGGTTTTCAGTAATTTTCTCGAAAAGATGTAAAATGTTTGCATTGATATATTATTATTGCCGTAAACCGGCCAAATGTCAACGAGATTCTTACCAGCAGTCTGTAGAAGCATTCTAGACTAAATTTAAAGTTTTTAAAAGAAAAAAAGATGATGGGAAAACATTGAAGTATTACTATAGAGCTCTCCATTGAGAAAAAAGCTATTTTCCTTGGCCTACTCTTTGTCTGGAATGCCATGAGAAGTGCCAACAGTTTCTGAAGCAACATTGCTTTCTGGTGGCACATTGTCCTTAGCATCCCCATTCTCTGGCAAGACATCTTCTCCGTGCTTAACGGCCTCAGCACTCTCAGTTTCTTGATGAGAAGAAGCAGTTGCTTCAGTTTCTGCGACTTGGTCCTTCACAGTTCCAACCTTCACATATTTGCTCATAAACTTGTACTCCCAGTCTTGCAAGGCCTCTAGCTCAAATGGGCCAAGCCCGGATATGTCACCCGTGAGGTCCTTCTCCTCAAAGGACATCTTAGCAAGAGCTCTACTAGCATCCTTCCCCGCAAACAAAGCGTAAGGTCCCCCTGGTCCGTAAAAGATTCTGCCATGATACACAGACATACAAATAATTTAAGCCTATGTGCACAAGTGAAACTCAACCCTTTTAAAAGGAGTCTCATTTATTTTTAAAAAAATCTAAGTCCAAATGAGGCTAATTAGACAAAGAGAAAGTTTAAAAAAGACAAACATACATAGTAGTTGTTACATATGTCAACCTGGAAAGATGAGTCCATGGTCATGCTATAAGACAGACCAACTTTGACACCAAAGTTTGATACTATGTGTTTCAAAGACAATAATTGTTTGTGCATGTGTGTGAAACCCATGGTGTCAAATGTGAATATGTGATGTCAAAAAGTTGATGTGACTACAGATTTATCCTATAAAGATAAGCAACCATTTTCAAGAACCTGAATGAAGCAGCATCTATTTTGACATTTGAATAATGTTTTGACCTTGCACATTAGCTTTCAAAACTTCAAAGCTGAATGGTTAGATGATTGGTTGAACAGAATTTGTTTTTTATTCAAACTAAATCTGGTTCACAGTAGCAATGATACCAAAGAAGAATTTCAACAAATTTGATGTCACCTGCTCACCCATAGCTCCAGACTTTTGTTAAAATCTTTCTTGTGTCAAAGTTGTTGTGGAAGATAAATGGTCTTTAGATTCACAGTAAACTAAAATATCAAAACGCCAAAGACCTTGTGGTCTAGGAGCAGCCTGCTCTCCCAAATAGGAGGTCACATGTTCAAATCCGGGCTCAAATCCGAGCGGGGTATAGACTATTTGTGCTTCAATGAGTTGAAAAAATGTAAATGAACATATACCAGAAGTTCCAAAGAGCATCAAAACATTTACACCGTACAATACAACTTTGGACAATAAAAATTCATGGATCTGTTGACTTTTTTCATCTGCTGTTACCTTTTCTGTTCTCTCAAAAAGTTCCAAAAAAGTCATTTAACAAAGCTTGAAACCGTGAGAATATACCTGCTTTGAGAGACATCATAGATCTGAGCCTTGATGGCCATAAGCAGAGGCTTGTTAGGATCGGAGCCATCATACTGCTTCAACTCCTCCGCGCTGATCTCCCCAACCTGAACCGGCGGGGGCAGAGGCTTCATCTCCTCCTCCGGCTCCCTGTCCATCCGGCGGTCGGCATGATCGGAGGAGCCGAAGAGCGCAGAAGCGACATAATAAAGGGCGAGGAGAAGTGCGGCAACCGTGAACAGAGTCGCCGGAGATAGGGACGGGTAAGTTGCGATTGCCTCTTTGAAGGTCTCCCAGAGTTTCAGGTCCATGGTTGGTGAGGAAGACTTTTCCGGTGGCAGGCGATGGGAACGAAGTAGGGAGGGAAATTGGAAGACGAGAAGAGTGGGGTCGAAGAGTGGGGTTTTTAAAAGCAGTGAATACAATGAAAAGAACTGGTGGCAAATCCGTGGGTCTGGTCGAGTCAATTCGTGTTAATGGTGTTATATTGAGTTCTACGGAGTATTTAATTTTTGACTAACTCATGTAATGCACCCTATGCACCGTAAAAATATTATCTCTCCCTCTCAAAATATTTGTCACACTTGTTTTTTTAGGAGTCGCAAAAACTTTTATTTATTTCTACATTTTCATTTTTTATTTGACAAAATAAAATATTTTTGACACATCTTATTTTAAAGAATTTTTCATATAGTCTTTTGATATGTAAATTTTATTTTTTATTTTTATACCAATATGTAAATACGGAGTATAATGAATTAAAAAAATTGATATTTTACTTCAAGAATATAAGTGTGAAAAATATTTAGGGACGGAGGGAGTATTTATTTAGTTCTACTACAAAGAATAAATGTAATACTATAGCTGAATTTATATGAGATTTAGTTTAGATATATCAAATTTTTATAATATTTATTTATTTAAAATTATATTTAAATGTGGCTCGAGGGATTATTATCTTCATTACGGGCCAAGATCTTTAATTTTTATCAATTTTTCACCCGTGGGATAAAAATGTAAAATTGACAATAACTACAAATTTGATTTTTTTAAAAAGAAGATTCACACGTGATAGAAACAATAGCTAGTTTCTTAAACACTAGTAGTATTTTAACTTGTGCGTTGCACGGATTAAATGATTTCTTGTCCGATTCTATACTTTTTAAAAAAATAGGGTAACTTTTTTAAAGGTTCTATTCTTTTTATTCCTACTCTTAGGATCTCTTTGGTAGAAATTAAAATACAAAATTTTAAATTCTACTTTCATAAGTTCATTTGCATAAGTGGAAGGAAATCACCATTTAGAAAAAAATCCTCAAAGAGGAGAAAATGACTTTCGACTCTTTAGGATGTAAATTCATTTTGCTATTCAATTCTCGAGTGCATCTTCATTTCTCGAGTTCATTTCCTTCACCCCCATTCTCTCCCCTGCCCACCCCCGCCCCTGGCCACCCCCTGCCGCAATCTTATAGAATGTAACACTTTAATAAAGATTTGGTATCGATTATGTATAAAAAATAAATTATGCTTTCTAAAATATTTTAAAACTATCTCCAAAAATATATATTTTATTCATATATTAACAATGTACTAATATAAACAAATAATGTGAAAAAAATTGTTTGAAAAAAATTGCGTATTAAACAATAAAAAGTGTGGGGGAGAATAGTTTTTTGAACTTTTTTCTTTTTTAGAAACATATTTTCACACAATTAAGTGCATCCTTAACTTTCAATATTTTCCAAGTTCTTCTATTTCTTTTAAACCTTTATAGTTTATTGACTTTATTCCAATTTAATTCTTCCAACACCTTTCAACTTCTTCAAACTTCTTTCTACTCGTTCTAGTTTTATCTATTTTTTATTTGTTTTAATAGTATTTAAAAATTACTTGTGTACATTTATAATAATAATAATTTTATTATAATTATTACGGAGCAGGGCCGGTCCCGAGAATTCCATGGCCTGGGCCAAGACGGAAAAATAAAGGCCTAAAGGTCTTATTCATAATGACTTAACGAATTAAAGTGTGTAAATAAATTATATTTGAATTACAATTAACGTAATAATGATCTACTAAAATGATTGAATCAAAATCATAGTAAAGGGTTTATATATACTTATATTCCCAAATCAATGTTCTGGAAATTAGTCCGGATGTCGATCCAGACGAACTAGTGGGTCAAGGGTTAAATAGTTGAACCAGTCGAATCAGGGGTCAACAGCTTGATCAATTATAATTAAAATAAATTATATTATTAGATTTTTTTAATAAATAAGGAAATTTAATTTGTGTTTTTTCATTCTTCCATCTAGTTTTTTTATATCATTTTGCATATGTTATCACACTTTCTATTTTCTATTTGTATTATTTATTACAATTAGAGATAAATAATGAATATCAAATAAATATATACGGAGTACTAAAATAGAAAGGCAATACAATTATTTAAAAAAATAAAAGCTAGGTAATGTGTTTTTAGATAATACTATGTAATCTGTATGTAACTAGTACTTCATACTTATATTTAGTTGATTGAAGCAAAAAAAGTAGAAGACAAAATTAATTTTAATATATTAAAGTATAATTAATAAGAATTTCTTAATTTTTATTGATGAATTTTTTTTAGGTATAAGTATTAATATTAATTGAGAAATTTACCTAAATAGGATTAAAACATAATGACTTTCCCAATATATGATCATATGTTTTTATTTCCAATGTAGGACCTTTGGTCATTATCACGAAGTCATTATTCAACTAAATGTGCATCATTGCTGGACATTATTCATTCCACTAGGTCATTATTAAGTCCTATTTATGGAATAAAAAAGTTTAAGTCCTACATCAGGAAAGTCATTATGTTTTAATCCTATTTAGGTAAAATTGACGGCGGGAACCAACGCCAATGCGGTCGTGGCATCCGGGCGACCTCCAAGGACCCCTCAATTGCAGGATTTGATGAAGATTTGCAAAACCCCCAATTTTGGATCCAATTTCGAATTTTAGGGTTTTTTCGAGTAGAAAAATTCAGATTCGAGAAGTTACAGGCCAAATTAGACAAAATGGTTTGGATATTATTGATCCTCGTCTCAAGACGAAGAGAATGACATTGGTCCCGCCGGAATCGGAAAAAGTTCATTTTCC